CCTTGCAGTTTTCTCCACTTGGCGATTATTCACGAGGAAAAAGCCCTGAGCCTGGAGGTGATCCGGCAGACGGCCGGGGACCGTGCATTCCTGAACTTCCAGAACAACCTCAGCCAGGTACTTTCACCTCCGCAGCCCCAAATTCAGATCTGAGCCTGCCACCCCCACAAAAGCCCTCTGGGGAATTCCCCCCCCCCCAACGGTCCTTTTTAATTCTTTTTCTAATTGATGGATATTAAACCAAAGCCTACATTCAGGAAAATCCGCAGCTGGCTCCAGCCAGCGTTAGTACAACACTTCCTCTCCCCCGAGAGTGGCATTTAACACCCGCATTTTTCAAATGTGATGCAATGGGTTGCATCCGTCTTTATGGGGATGTTAATGATACCCTCCATTATGAATTGATGAGAGCCCTAAGTTCATCACTTCCAGACTAAAGGGTGACTATATAATATGTCGCGAAGCATAAAGCGCTGAGTTTTTGGCATGTGTTTTTATTTGGGGGCACAAATCGCCAAGGGGTCTGTTTGTCCAGTCGTTGCTGCCAAGTTTGCAGTGTAACTTACAGGTCTGTGTTTTTTTCTTTTGCCTGCAGACTCCTCTTCACCTGGCAGTGATCACTGATCAGCCTGAAATTGCCGAGCATCTTCTGAAGGCCGGATGCGACCTGGAAATCAGGGACTTCCGAGGAAACACCCCCCTGCACATTGCCTGCCAGCAGGGCTCCCTCAGGAGCGTCAGCGTCCTCACGCAGTACTGCCAGCCGCACCACCTCCTCGCTGTCCTGCAGGCGACCAACTACAACGGTACGGGCACGCTGCTGTACATCCATGTTGGTGTGCTGTACCGAGGGTAGAGCTGTTGTCCCGTAGAGCTCAAAGATCTCTAGAGAGGTGGAGAAGGATTGTTATGCCCACTTGAGAGTTGAGGAACCCAGAGCACACAGCAGTGTCTGACTTCTTTAAAATGGCACTGTCTTGTAGGCCTCCTCACTGTTGATTAGTGGCTCTCATGGCTTTGAATTTCGCGTTTTTAGTGAGTACTTTTGCAGTGCTCCTTTTTTTTTTTTCATTAAGTTGCAGTCAAACACTGGAATAAAGCCTCTTGAGAAATCTTTCCAAAATCCAACCCTGTTTTTCATACTTACTGGAAGCTGCAAAGCTCCTCTGGAAAACACCCTTTTGCCATGGATGAATTGCAAGCTTAGATATTGTGCTGTCCTGTCATCTTGACTTTAACTGGGTGATGGGGGATTAGGTTAGACTTACTCAAATTTTACCTTCCTTGTGTTTTGCAGGACATACATGTCTCCATTTGGCATCTATTCAAGGATACCTGGCTATTGTCGAATACTTGCTGTCCTTGGGAGCAGACGTAAATGCTCAGGTATGTAATGTACACCGTGAATTTAACTGAGCAGGGCTGTGTAGTCATAAGAATAAGCAGGTCTGGCACCAGCTCTGGCTCTCCTAACATGCCAAACCTTGTGTTATTTTCACACAGGAGCCATGCAATGGCAGAACAGCACTACATTTGGCTGTCGACTTGCAGAATTCAGACCTGGTGTCACTTCTGGTGAAACACGGGGCAGATGTGAACAAAGTGACCTACCAGGGCTATTCCCCCTATCAGCTCACATGGGGAAGAGACAACTCTAGCATACAGGAACAGCTGAAGCAGCTGACCACAGCTGACCTGCAGATGTTGCCAGAAAGTGAGGACGAGGAGAGCAGTGAATCGGAGCCTGAATTCACAGAGGATGAAGTAAGTAGCTATTTGGACCTTTTCAAGAGAAAGGGAAAATCCTGCCCTTTGTGGTTTTTTTTTGTTGGTGCCGCTCTGATGACGTGCTCCAGGGACCTTTTACCTATATAACTGACAGATATAAATAGCCTATAAAGTGAGCTTACGCTGTCAGCCATCAGCAAGATGGCAGTTGGGGCAAGCATATGAATAGAATAAATTTAAGAATAAAATGTAAAGAATACATGAGGGAACTGAGGTTAACTTCACGCAACATGAGTCGCTGAACGTCATTCTGTTGCTGACACCTACAGAACCTCATGAGAGAAAATTCAAGTTAATGGGTGGTTTTCTCCTCCCCAGCATTTGTTTTTCTAACGTTCTCAGTGCTGCTAAATGGCAAACGTAACCATTTCGGTGTAGAAATTTTATACGCCGCCAAAGTCAGGGCATGCAGAATTTGGCAGTTATCCCAGAGTGGATACGATATTCCCAGTAAGGGTTTTGCATTAACAGCCTTTTCTGTTTTCTTCCAGCTTATGTATGATGACTGCCTTATTGGAGGACGACAGCTGGCATTTTAAAGCAGAGCCTTCTGTGAAAAGAAGTGACTGTGTACATATGTATAGAAAAAGGACTGACTTTCTTCATTTGAAAAGAAAGTCATAACGCGGAGGGAAGAACCAGAAGGGAGATACTACACTGCCCAGCAAGGAGCACGTAATTGTAACAGGATGGTTCCAGGTTCTGGCCTGTGTTTAAATACAGGAATGGGATGTGTAACATCGGTAGAGATCTGTGATTATTCACACCACCTGATAAAGAGCCACATAGCCAATCTTCTCAACCCTACGAAGGTAACAGACTACACATCCAACCTGCTAGTTACAGAGAGCTATCTTGCGGTGTTCGGTACCATGAGAAACGCGTGTCCTCTCATGGCAAGGCAGGCTCATACCGACAGCCCCTCTTCTCGGAGACTCTGTGTTAATTTGTGTCGGGTTGGTGGTGCTCCCTGGCCTTACTGATCGACTTCAGCTGCTCGCGGTGGGGTGTCCCAGGCGGAGTCGTCAAACTAAGGGACTGGTGACCTCCTGGCTGTTAGAAGAAAGGTAGCAATAATGTTAACTGTGGGCATTGGAAACTGTGTTTCACACCATGTGTGTCATAATTGCTACACTTTTTAGCAATTGTATATTGTGTAAATACTGTACATTTTTGTCTACAATTATTTTGGTACCTGTGAGATATGTATTTATTAAAGTCAGATTACAGTACCTGGTCTGTGAAATGGTTCATTGCCTACTTCATTGTCCTGAGATACACGGGAATCCACCTGGTTCGCTTTTTAAGAAACATTTAACACCTAGTAGACTGATGGGGTCACAGGCTCAGGGGTTTTAGGTGGTTCACCTCAGCAGTGGTAAGACATCTAAGCAGCTTGCAGCTTTCAGCCCTTCTGCAGCTAATTTTGGAAGCAGACGTAGGTGTCGTTTCCTGCACCCATTGCAGTAGGCGGTTCGGGGGGCTGGGATTCCCCCTCTGTCACCCAAGCACCGGGCCGCCTGGCTGCTAGAGAGGGGTTTTGAGGCCGTCTGTGGCAGCACCCACCCACCTGCCCTCGTGGCACCTTTTGTTCCAGCTCCAATTTGCGGCAGCTCTTGCCGGGACTTGCCAGGGGAGGCTGGAGGTTTACAGCACAGCCCCGCACCCGCCCGCCCTCTCGTTTATCACCCGGCCCGACTCCAGTTTGAACTCGGACACCTTCGGATTTTCCAAAGGGGATTTCCGCGGGAAGAGGGAGCACATGCCTGGGAACACGTGCTGCTGCCTTCCACCCCTGATGTTCAGGCGTGGGCCCTCTCCCCGCTGCGGCTGGTACAGCTCTCCTTGTTCAATTCACAGTGGCAGAGGACGTGGCTTTAACCTGCTTCAGTTATTCCTGCGTGTTTCTCTCCAGCATTTGGGCAGACAGAATCACTTTGCTCAAATCCTCACCTGCACCTGATGATCTGGTGGTAGCGTGTCGCAGCGCAGGACTAATTTTAGCCACAGATTTTAGCCTGTTGTGTGACCACATAGAATCATAGAATGCTTTGGGTTGGAAGGGACCTTTAGAGGCCATCTAGCCCAACCCCCCTGCAGTGAGCAGGGACAGCTTTAACCAGATCAGGTTGCTCACAGCCCCATCCAACCTGACCTTGAATGTTGCCAGGGATGGGGCCTCTACCACCTCTCTGGGCAACCTGTGCCAGTGCTTCACCACCCTCATTGTCAAAAACTTCTTTCTAATGTCTAGTCTAAATCTATTGTTCTTTAGTTTAAATCCGTTATTCCTTGTCCTGTCACAACAGGCCTTGTTAAAAAGATTCTCCCCATCTTTCCTGTAGGCCCCCTTTAAGTATTGGAAGGTTGCAATAAGGTCTCCTCACAGCATTCTCTTCTCTAGGCTGAATAAAGGATGGGTTGCGTGAAGGGTGACCGTGCCTCATTCCTCCTGTGCTGTAACCCCCTGGACGGGGTGCGGCAGAGCTGCTGACGCAGGACCGAGCTACACCAAGAGTGTTGGCCAAGGGGACTTCTGTGCTGCTGGCACCCGGCCCAGCTCAGGCTGCTGGAGAAGGCCAGGGCTGCAGGTTGCACAGGGACACCCGTTCCCTTTTCTGCCCTGCTCTTCCCAAGGGGTTCCTGACGCACCACCTGCTCTACGGAGGGCTCTCTGGTATGAGGAAGAGCACCACAACTGGCTGGGTGCTTCCTCATTTGCATGGGAGCCAAAGGCAGTTGTGGAAAGGATTATATAAAATTGTCATCCTGAGTCACTTTTATTTCCCTTCCACTCTCATTGCATGAGCATAGCCCAGGTGTATGCGCTGAAACTTCCTTCTAGCAGACAGGGCCATACCTGCATTGCAAACCTGCAAAGTTTTCCAGGTGTGGGGCTGGGTGAGAATCTGCCAAACCCTTCTTCTTCTTGGGGCCCCACCCTGCACTCCGAACGACGGCTAAATCTGAGCTGGGGATGGGGACTGGGGGGTTTATCCACCTGCTGCTACAAGTTTTTCACCAGCAAAGAATCCCAACTGACTTTCAGCCCAGCTTGACTAAACACGACATTGCCATGGCTGGAAATAGAAAAGGCAATGTCCCTCTCACTACCTATGCTTCAGTTTCCCCCTTGCAAAACAAGAGCTGGAAAAGCTGTCAAGGCCCTGCGGAGGCATTCACCAGCTATAGCTACGAGTGTTCTGGAAGTCCTCGGGTACGTCTGGACCCGGTATGCAAATATTTAAATAGATACCATCTGAATGCAAATACTTTTTATTCAAAAGCCAGAGGGAGGGAGGAAAGTGTAGTTATCAGTAGTACCAGGCTGGCCAAGTAGTTTTGGAGGCAGTGGCATGTTCTCTGCTGTCCATTGCAACATTTAGACAAACAATATTTTAGGAAGGTGCTGCTATAATCTTGCAAGAATTATATAATGACTTAATAAATTAAGCTAATGCTTTACTGTATAAGGAAGTTTTACAGCTAAACAAATCATTGTCCAGGTACCGCACACTGGTTTTGCTACTGTTTGCCTCCACCACTCATGCAAAAGTAACCACATAGCATATGTGGAGGAACCGCAGGTAAAGCAAGTAGGATGGAGATTAACGTGAGAAGATGTGTACGTTAGCAAAATAGGTTGGGAATGTTGCGTATATGCGCAGTGCTAACGTGGGGCTATTCAGTGCAGAGCTTTGCCTGTTCACTTGATGATATAAGGAGATTGTCCACTGCAGGTCACCCCCCGCACCCCAGTTTCAAACATGTGCCCTTAACTGCTGCATGTCCACCCTGTCTCTAGCTTTTCCACCCCTATGCCTTTAGAAAGATCTTCTGAAAGTGGTTTTGGTGATAACCTGCCTTCATGCTACCTTCTTGGCACTCTGGCAGATAACGTTGCACAGTCCCATTTGTAGGACTCGGAGCAAGAACTCCTTACGCATTTATTCTGCCAGTATCACTTTTTCCTTACTCAGCCACCATGGCTGCTATTAGCAGAGCATGCCAGCTTGCTCTTGCTCTTCCACCTCCTCACCTTAGCTCCTGCCAGTGCTTCCCTGTGCTGGCCCAGGGTTAAAATTCTCTCCCAGCACCTTTGCCACATGCCCTGGGTGACTCAGCAAGCTTCAAGGGCAGCCATGCTGCTGCAGATCAAGGTCCTGTGAAGTTCAGTTTTCATTTCCTGACTCTGACCCTCTCTCCGTTAGCTTTCTTCCTTTCCTCCGCTCCTGCCGTGCCTGTGTCCTCTGCTCTTACTGCCCTCAGCACCCACATCCACCTCTGCCTGCTCTTTTCTCCCTTCCAGGGTGAGGGCCTTTCCACAGGTCCCCCCTCCCTCGTCTCCTGCAACACCAGCTCACCATGAGCTCATCCATCCATCATGACTTTGCACAGCATGAGGCAGCATTTTTGTTTCCAGCCTTTCCCCGCTGCCCGTTCTTGTAAATCTCTTTGATAATCCCGCAGGGATATTCCCATACTTCCTTATATTGTGCACAAAGCACTGAACTCCACATTTCCTCCCACACCCTCCTCTTTCCCCTCACACTTCGCTCCCTGCAGGCCTCCATCACCCCAGCCACAACCCAGGGGCCACCTTCAGTCCCTACTCTCCTGCCTTTCAGCTTGCTCAGCATCAGCCCTGGACTTCTCAAGAACCTTCCGGGAGTGACAGACAAAATGCAATGGGATGGCAATGGTGGAGAGCAGAGCCCAGGTCCCACTTGTCCCACAGTAAAGTGGGAATCCTTCTTGTGCATCCACTGCAGCTTTGGAAAGTGTAAAAGCAAAGGCAACCTTGCACCTAGGTATGTGTGTAGGTAGGCTGCATCCTCCCACTGGCTCCAGCGCCAGCCTGACCTTTGCAGTTGAGAGCAAAAACCTTTCACCGCCCTCCCTGCTCGCTTTGCTGCTCTCCGGTTATGGTGCAGCGCGCTCCTCTTGCACAGCTTGGGCTGTGCGGGCTGTTTGACGCATAGGTGTGGGTGTCTCAGCTCCCTCAGCAGAGAGAGGTGGGACAGGCAGCCCCAGGAGCTGCCTGCCACCTGCCTGCTGACGGGCTTGGACCTCATGAGGGGCCACAGTCCTAACCTGGGGGCCTTAACCCTTGCTCATCATCCTTCAGCCCCCTGACATTAGGAAGGGGCTCCCTATTGACTAGTTGGCATTTTACGCACCATGACCACAGGGCCAGACCAGGGCCAACGGACAGTGTTCACCAACCATGCGCCCCACATCCAGCTGATGGACACATCTACCTGCTTGCCCCAGCAGGACTCAAGGCACCAGAAGGCAGCAAGGCCACCAGGACCCTTAATCTGTCCCCAGAAGTGGCAGCCCCACTGCTGCTGGCTTTGCCCCACAGCTTCGGTTCAGATGTGGATGAGCAAGATGGTTGGGTGAAGAAGGGAAAAGGTGGAGCCAGCAACAAATCCTCAGGAAAGACACCGTGCTCTCCGAGGTGGAGGACAAGTATCATCTGCGATTTGTTTTGGTGGAAAATCTTCAATGGTGATGGACTCTGGGCCAGGCAGGGGCCCAGCACGTATCATTTTTCTGCAGAAGCTGAGCTGTGGAAATAATTAAGCATCTGGTTGTTCCCAGAAGAAAAAACAGCAGAACAGAGTGCAGGGATGACAGGGAGGACCCTCTCCCTGGAGAAAAGCCCACTCTCACTTCAAGGGGGTAGAGGAAGGGCTTTTCCAGCATTGCTGTGCTCCCAGCGCCGGCACTTTGCTGGAGAGTGAGAGCTGCGCAGGATCTCGTGGGGCAAGGGAGCGGGAAAGTCCCGTCCCCTCCTGCCAGCTGGGATGGCCCGTGCTGCCAGGACCGCCGCTGCGCAGCCTGACCCTGTCTCCAGCAAGCACCTCTCATAGGTCTGGCACCGCTCGCCTCCCTGTCCCTCCCGACAGCTCTCTGAAGCACTAACATCAGGGCCAAAAGGCTCGCTTTAAAAGCCAACACATTTATCAGGCCATAATGTAAGAAACCAAAGTCCAGAGGGGTTGAAACAGAAACTCCCCCCACCAAGCTGGAGGTCTGACTGCCCTCCCTCCCTCTCTCCCCTTGTCCCAGCGCTCAGATTTTCCCAGGACTGTCTCCTTGTCCAATTTTCCAAACAGGACTTTCCAGTCCCTGTCGGAAG